CACATTCTTCTAATATTGATACAATCTTGCATTCCTAGAACAAGGCCTATAACTGAAGCTTCTCCATTTGAAAAGTAAGAAGAGGTAAAATGACACCAAAATAGAAACTGTCTACTTTAAACTGCAAGGCTGTCAGGTATAGCAGTGCATCCCAGGTGCAGTGGTAATCCCAGCTACTCTGGAGGCTGAGGCAGAGAGATTGCAAGTTTGATACCAGCCTGGGCAATTTAGTGAGACCCTATCTGAAAATAAACAAACAAACAAACAAGCTGGGATGTTGCTCAGTGATAAAGTGCTTGCCTAGCAGGTCCTGAGTCCAATCCTTAGTACTGAAAACAACAAAACAACAGCACAAACTGTACAATGCTAATCCTACTCCTTGGTCTCAAACTCCCGTCTCCACAGCATTGTTCCTGTTCCATCTATCTCCTGTGTAAGCTCTCAGAGCACATCCTCCTCCTGATGTTCAATGCTTGGCACGCACTATTCTCTACATGACCCATCTACCAACTAGAAAATGTGCCCCCTAAAGAGTCATGTAATCCCAGAACTCTGGGAGGCTGATGCAGGAGGACTGTGAGCTCACACCCAGCCTGGGCAATTTATCAACTTAACAAAACCCTGTCTCAAAATAGAGCAATTAAATTAAGAATATTGAAAGGGCTGGGGATGTAGCTCTGTGCAAAGACTCCAGTTCAATGCTGAATACTGCAAAGGACAGAGATAGAGAAAAAGACAACAATCAAGTATAGAATAAATCCTTCGCTAAAGTGCTTCTGGGATGAGACGTAAAAAATGAAGTTGGATAATAATGTGGTATTTGCAGGAAAATGGGACTTCTGGATATGAGTTTTCTAGGGAGCTGCAGTTTTAATCTCTTAACTCTCGCTGAAACTTTAGTCATGATAAATTGGACTCCACATTTCCATGCCATGTTAACCCAATATTCTGACCATGCTTCATACGTTTCTTGATTTAAAGTGAAACTTAACTTTTTTGTTAATATTGAGGACAGTTATTTAGGAATATGGTACTGTGGCAGAGATACAGCAGTGGATACACACTATGAGGGTTGCCTAAGCTCAGCTATAGCCCTAAACAAGGCTTTAACAGGAAAAAACCACACACACAGGTACTGTGGACCTTTGACTTACGTACTTGATTGGTTTGGAGGGCTGGATGTAACTCAAGTTGATTGTAAACCAGTACAACTGAGATCTGGATGTTTACCTGGGTACACGCCATAGATAACAAGAGGCAGATGAATCTTCCATTAACCAAATTAACCCAAGTTGTTTGTATGTCAGGTCATAACTTGAGGGTCTACTGCATTTTCCCTCTTTGGCACTGACTTCTAGCTAATTCTCAGCAGCTGTTTTCTCTTCTACTTTCCCCACCTCTTACCCCAGAATTACACAGTGTAGCACAGTAGGACCCACACATTTCTATCAGCAAAACAGTTACCATTTCTCCAGAGGACACTTCCCATTTGTTTCTCCACTGTGGACTCTATCTTCTCTGTATCTGTTACAAACTGACCTCTAATCTCTAAAGGGGACACATCCAGTAGTAGCTAAAAGCTACTCTGAAGTCAGGATGCCTTGATTGAAAGCTCAGTTTGGCACTTTGAGTCAAAAGCACTAATGACAAGTTACTTGACCTCACTATTCTTCAAATTTGCCATCTGTATCATGAAAATAAACACGACTTATCTACCTCAGAGGTTGAATTAAGTGCTTTAAACATGGTCTAACAAATCATATTATTAAATATGATATATTATTAAGTAAATGGATAAAATACTATCAACTTGAACTCCGTTGCTCCCACCTCTTTATGAAAACTGCTCCAGTATTTCTCACTTTGGACTACAGTGTTGGATATGTGTGTGGTTGTACCATTTCTAAGGGATCCCAGCACTCCCTCTCACTGGTCAGTGCCTCTATCAGCAGGCAGGGAAGAGGGCCAAGCAGTATCAGGTGTATCCATCACTGCTCTAGCCATGTGAACCACGTGAAGAGAACGGGCCGATTACTCAATCAGCATAACAAGAATCTAGGGACATGTGTGACTGCTGTTTTCAAATATTTTCAATGCAGGGCTGGAGAAAAGGTGGCAATTCTATGCAACAGCCACAGCCTACCCATCACTGAACGTGTTGAAGCAGGTTATTGGTGCCCAAGTGTCAAGGATATTTATAAGAAAGAATTTAGAGTCAGATAATCTAAGATTCCTTCTACCTCTAAAATCGCAGTACTTGGTATGAGTCACCAAGATGTTACAATCTAAGTATGAGTCACACATCGCCAAGGTGCTGCCAAAGGCACAGGATTCTTCACTCCCACAGTGCTTAGCACCGCACCAGATCTCGGCGCGGAATTCTAGCCCTCGGGCTATGTATACCTCAGCGAGGAGTAACAAAAACTTTTTAAAAACTAAGCTGATTCCAGACTTGTTATGACTGACAAAATAAGGCATACATCCCAATTGAGATTTGGCAAAAAGGCGTGCATCCGAATTAACTCTCGGAGGGTCCTTCCCGTCACTCTTCGGCTGGACAAATGCAGGCAGAAGCGGGCAGGCAGGTTAAAGGGGCGGGGCGGGGTGTCAGGGTGAATGGGAGCTGGGTGAGAGCCACACAGGGGCAGGAAAGGGACAAAGGCCTCCGGAGAGCACGCTGGACTGGGAGGCTGCCAGGAAGGCCCCGGCTAGATAGGAGCCAGTGGCCCGGCGTCTGCCTGGGAGGCAGACGGGCCACGGCAGCCTGCTGACCGGGAGCCACAGCAGGGCCTGGGGTGCCAGCGGGGCCCCGGGAGTCCTCGCTGCCCCCGGGCTGGGCCAGGCTGCGCGCCGCGCGGAGTGGACTCGGCCGGCCAGGCGGCGCACCTGCTGGGCTGCCCGGCCTCGCAGCCTCCCCTGTGCTCAGCCCCCCGGGCTGCCGCCGTCCTTGCCGTCGCCAAAGCGCCCGGGCCGAAAGTGGGGCAGCGGCTGCCTCCCGCCCGGGTCGCGCAAGCGGCCGCCGCCATCGCGGCCACGCAGGAGGAGCCGCGGGGCCACTGGGCGCCTCTTTACCTGGGAGACCAGCGGGAGCAGCGTCTGCTCCACCGAGCGGGTTTTGATCTCGAGTCCCGGGTCGAAGGCGAAGCCCGGCGGGCTGGAGCCATGAATTGCTCCGGAGCCACCGACGCCGGCAGAGCCGGGAGAGGCGGCCATGGCCCTCCGCGCGCCTCTGCGGGCCGCTCGCGAGCCAGCAGCCAGCCAGCCCACGGGTCCTCTGAGGCCGCACTGCACCCACTGCACCCGCGCCGCCCGAGGCCCCGCCCCTCCCCGGGTAGCCCCTCCCCTCCCCGCCCCCCAGCGGGCCACACAGCCGAGGCCCCGCCCTACACCCCAGCGCCCCGGTCAGGGGCTGGTTCCCCGCAGCCCCGCCCCTAGCCGGGACCCCGCTCGTCCCCGGCCCCGCCCCTTGCTCTTGGCGTTGGGTATCCAGCGTCCCTCCTGGCCAGCTAGAGGACAACAGAGCGCCTCCCACGGCCACGTGGGCTCTAAGCCTCCCAGCCTCCCTTAACGGGACTTGCTGTAAGTCAATTCTGAATTCCTGCAGATTTCTGGAAGCTCCGCTGGAGTTGAAACTAGCAGAGCGGAACAAGAACACATGCTGCGGGGTGGGGCTACGACCCCTGGATGGAATTGGACAGGTCATCTTCCTGGGGCTTCTCAGGAAGGTCCCATTTTCCCCCTTCCCCTTAGTTTCTGAGTATTTCTCATACTTTGAGTTGAAAATGAATCATTTATTAAAGCCAATCATGGAAGAAATACCTTATTATTCTGGAAGAAGATAGTGTATCTTTCCAGCTGTTTATCAAGTTACTCTTCAATAAAGGAACACAACATGAAAAATGCTTTTCGATTTTGGTGTGCAGCACGTGTTCTACCACTGCACTACATCTCCAGCCTCAACACTTTTCAAAGGCACTTTTTTCTAGTGCCAGGCAGAGTAGTTTCTCAGTAACTGTTTACTGAATGAAAGGAACATCAGTGTGTACCTCTCACCAAAGTCACTTACGGGTAAGGCTAAGAATCATCTCTGTAAGGCCAACCCTGAGTTTACACAGAGCCGCTGTGAAGGGAGGGGTGAAGAGCACGCCTTCCCCTCAGGTTTCCGGGAGCAGAGCCAAAGGAGGCCGTCGGAAGCGGGCACCGGGTTGAAGGAGGCCTGGGCTTAAGCAATCCACTGAGAGGCATGCAGAAATGTTTTATGAAGAGCGGTATCTGCCAATGAGAATTTATGAGGCTAGCCAGGATCATTTCTCCATCATGCCAGACTGAGGAGCTGGAGGGTACCATTACCTTTAGAAGCTCTTTCCCAAGCACTGTTCTTGAAATGTTCCTTGCAGCGTTCCCGTTTGTCAGTCAAGCTCCGTCTCCCAGAGCTGCACAGCTATCTTCGGTACTGAAGATATCCAAGTGTAGATCTGTTTTCTTCAAAAAGTACAGTTCTCAGTGCTAGGGGGAGGGGGCAGCATTTACTGGAGATTGAACTCAAGAGTGTTCAAGCCAGATAACCGCTCTACCACTGAGTGCTACATCTCCAGCCCTTTTGGAGACAGGGTCTTACTAAGCGACCCAAGCTGGGCTTGAACTTGCAATCCTCCTGCCTCTGCCTCCAGAGTACCTGAGATTATAGCCATGCACTAGCAAACCCACCTCTGAACTTACTTCCAAATCTCACTTCTCAGCCAGCCCTCACCCCTTGTTATCCAGAAGCCCACTTTTCCCAGTGCCCAGGGCTGGGTCGGGGGCTCCAGCCTCTGCTGTAAATCCTTAGCCTCTTTAAGGTATCCAGTATCCACTCAAGACAGATCTCCCCTCACTTTTGACCAAATTTCATGATTTACGGTAGGCACTGGTGCCAAAGGAAAAGGCAGTATATAAGGCCTGAGACACAGATGTATTCATGAAAGTTTGGCTAAACATAAAATTTCTCAAGAGACAAGAGATTTAAGTTTACCGATTCATTCAACACTAGTAATTTTATTTCAAAATATAAATATTTTACATTTTACAAAGAAGTTACATCAGGTTGTGAAAGCCGGTTAAAGCTAAGCAGTGGTATTTGTGTAATATTTGCCATATCTGAATATTCTTTCCCTCAAACCATCTCTCCTTTGCCTGAGAATACAGAAATTAAACATTTCCAAAGTTACATAAGTAATTACAACCACTGTCAATATTAGTTTCACAATCAAATAATATTTGAAATACACACCAATCACCTAAACAAGTGGCACTGCAAAGGACAAACAAGGGTTTTCTCTGGGAGAGTTACAGTAAAAGTAATACTTCTAGGTCACTATAATACAAAATAAGTGGTATTTCATGATAAGCCAAAAGGATGTTGCTTCTGTACCATTGTACTTTTTAATTTTTTTTTTTGAGACAGGGTCTCACTTTGTACCCCAGGCTGGCCTGGAAGTTGGGGTGGTCCTCTTGCCTCAGGCTCCCAAGTGCTGGGATTACAGGCGTGCACCACCACCCAGCTCCTTGTACATTATAAATCTAGATGAATAAGAGACCAGGTATGGAGTAAAGAACTCTGGACTTGGAATCAGAATTCTGCAACCAAATTCTAGCTCCATCCTTTTGTGACTTAAATTTAGATGGGAAAAACAAACAAAAATAAAACCATACAAAAAAAAAGAAGAAGAAGAAAAAAAGAAACCCTTTCAGAGCCTCCAGTGCCTTATCTGTGCAATGACTATAATACTGACTAGGCTCACAGGCTGTTCCCAGAGGTGCCTGAAAATTATAAAGAGCCATACAAAAGTATTATTAAAGTGTTTATATCAATATATCACCAAGGTATTTGCATATTAATTCATTAATTGATCCTTGAAAATTTGCAAATTAAACACAAATAGTGATTTTACACACCATAGGTAGAAAAGAACCTCTATATTTTTAGTTCTGAACGGTAAATATGTTTTCTTGCTAGTATCACACTAAACTGTGAGATTTATTACAGATTGCGTGGTACCAGAGAAACAGACTCACCATTCAGTAATTCCACTGGGCTGTCTCTCCTAAAAGAGTTGTAAACTTGATCAAAAGCCATCTTTCCCAAAGGACAAGGTCCCTTGAAATGCTCAGAGAGGAGGAGAAAGGGGGCACAATCTAAAGTCAAACACAATCTTTGTCCCTTTTTATAGATTTACAATGTATCATAGTATGTTAAAAACTCTTTTAAGTCCCAGGAAAAGGAAACAAATTCACCATTCCTCAATTTTAATTGACCATGGGCTCTATACCCCCCCACACACTTTTTTCTCCTCTTACAACATCTATTAATCTCTCTTGGAACCATTGGTGTCAGAAACATATTTTGCCCAAAGCTGCTCAATTATGAGAAAAGGGAAAGAGAAGTTGAATATGGAGAGAAAAAGGAACTATTCCACCCATGAATTCTATTACTAACTAGCTCTGTGTGTTTATCAGACAAGCTACTTTAACCTAAAAATTTGTTTCCGTCTCTGGAAAATGACAGGTTCATTTAATTATAAATGATACATTTTAGCACAGAACTTCTATGATTCTTCAAGATAGATCATCTTGACTTACAATTCTCTTGATTATTTTTATCAAAACAGTACAGAGTGCCTTCAGATATGTGTATTTTTTCAGGTTTTCAATGACCAATAAGTTAATAGAATGAATGTATTATGATGGCAAAATGTGTAAAGAAAAGAAACTGATAAAACTAATAAGCACTTGTTTATAGCTGGAACTCACATGTTGGGAATATATTGCTAGAAGCTATTTCCACTATAAAAAGGGCAGTCAAGGTCCTACTTTTGGGGCCGGGGATTTAGCTCAGTGGTTCTGCCGCCTGCCCTGCAAGCGCAAGGACCCGAGTTCGATCCCTGGTACCAAAAAAAAGTCCTACTTTTAATACTTTGAAAGGGTCATGGGAGACCCTATGGAAAAACGTAAGGTCAGGACTAGAGTGTAGGAAGTCCTCAGGGTTTTCTTCCAAAAACCCTTAGGTTGAAAGCTTTGGATAGCTCACTTAAATTAATTTGCTCTAATCAAATTCCTCATGGTCTGGATTTCTGAGTATTTCTTGGCCAGCAGTGACAGGCTCCTAAAGCACTAATATGGCCAAAATAGGAACCAGAAGTACTAGAAATCCTGCAAGGTTCATGTTACAAGGTTAGCCAGAAGACCTCACTTGCAAACAGCTGCCATTTCCAAAGACTACAGAGTTTGTTTAAATACAGAGTCCCCAAATATAGAGTACCCCATCTTGGGGTCTTTCCACAGTCAAGAGTCAACCCACCCTAGTCTCAGAAGCTGAGGAAAAACTGGCAGGTAACTGCCTCTCACGAAGAGGGTTAGGGAACCCTCAATTTTAATAGTATCTAAGCCTGGCATCAAAAACAGTTAAACAGAGATCCCTCCAGGACTGCTTTGTGGAATTTAAGCAGGACTTACATAATGTGGAATGTATGCTGAAAATCCTATGCCTTGATCTCTCTTGGAAAAGAGAAACATATCTGTGTGTTGAGCTTTAACCCCACCCCCAACCATTCAGCTTTCAGCTGAATAGTGAATGTGAATTTGAAACTAACTTTTAACCTACAAAATGCAAAATATTGTGACAGATTTCTGTACTCAGTTTTTACCAAAGCTACTTTTATTTCTTCGATGCTTTGTCTAGTCATAGGGAAACTTCCTCTTTCTGGGTCAAATTCTGAGACAGACTCTGTACGTTAGGTTACCTTTGAGACTTGTGCTTAGGTCTCCAACTTTCCATACCACCTGGCCTCTGTCTGCCCCGTGTACATTCTGTAAAACCTCCTCTGTGCCTGTGGACACATGACAGGGTGCTTCTCTCTGGTTTTGGCCTCGGAAGCTGGTAGACTAGTCCTTAGGCTCCTAGTTCTTAGGCTGTCACTCTGGCAATAGAGTTCAAGTTTCCTGATCAGGACTGTGTACCACTCTGGGGGACTTCTGCTCCTGATATGGCGGGGTGGTATTACACCACTGCTGCTCATTTAGGCAGCTCTAAGCTGTCCTCTTAGGGCTTAGAGTTCCCCTCTAAGAACCTTGTATTCATACTAATATTTTTCCCAGCAACAGCCATATATTAGCTCAAGTTTAGTTTATTGCAATTTTACTTTACACAGCTAAAAGCACTCTGAAGGAACATAATTTGTATATGTACACTAATTCATTGTGTAAAATATTTGCCTCATGAATATATGCTAATTACAGCTATAAATTTACCATTATGTAATTAACAAAAACTTCATTTCTTGCTTTAACCCTTTTAAAGCAAAACATTTAAATTTAGTATTACATGTGATCTGGTTAAGATTTCAGGTGAGAGAGGCCTTATGTGTCATCTCCTACAGCACCCTGCACAGACCTTGGCTTGGAGCCTAGAGTTTAGCAAGCTCTCAAGCAATGTGTTAATGAAGCCTTTTCTAGATGGGGTTTTTCTTAGCATAAGAATAAATTTAAACTTATAAGTTAATTATCATTAACTTTTTAGTGATAGTTTAGAAAAAAATTACTTCTGCTTTTATTTATTTTTGCCTTTTTTTGAGACAGGTTCTTGCTATGTCGCCCAGGCTGGCCTCACACTCGCCACAATTCTCCTGCTTCAGCTTCCCAAGTGCTGGGATTACAGGCATATACCATCACACCCAGCTATTTCTACTTTTAAATGTTTGCCAAGAAGCACACTTTCCATTCCACAGTCCTTTTGAGAACACAGGAAGGGGCTGCTGACTGTTTTAAATAGTTGAAAGGACACAAAACTAAGAGCTAGGTTAGAGCCTCAATACTGAGCCTTATTCATTTCACAAAGATAGCAACACCTATTGCAGCTCATGGTATAGGGGAAACTGCCTAAAATCGTAGAAGAAATGTTCTATAGTATAGCAGAGTTTGCAGACTATGGAGTCAGAAAGATATGAGACCAAATCTCACTGAATGTGTGAGTCTTTTCAATCATCACCCTGCTGAACATTGGGGTTTGCCATCAGTGTGAAACTTTGTAAAATAATAGAAAGCTACATGAAAGTGGGTGGGAAGAGGTTACAAACTAATATGCACAAAAGGACTGTATAAAATATAAAGCATTCTGCTGATTATTGTAATAGCTGAGATATTTTTAAAGTTACGATTCAATTCACCAAGCATTCATCTACAGTCATATGTGCAAGGCACTGTGCGAAATGACAAAAAATATGATACTGTTAAATACCTAAGTGTTGGAGTTCGAAATAATAGGGATACGTTTAACAAATCAGAGTACCACTACACCTGAGATTTTTTTAAACTTAAAATATTTAAAAGAAAAAATTGAATGATAGCATGAATTCTATCATATTGTTGCCATTCATAGCAGCTTCAGTATTTTAAGGTAATGTGGTCAGCCAAGTTTTAGAATTTTGACAATACTGTAACAAAGCATACAGGGAGATGGAAGAGGAGGAAAGCATCAGTCTTTCTGTGTCTCTTCTGATTGCAACACATAGATGAGCATCAACTGAGTCATACCACTCTTATACTAAAGGTTTGTTCACTCTGTCAAACAGGGTATGGCACATTGTGCAAAAAGGGTAGAAGACTCAATTTTTCCTGCTCACATAACTACATACTCTGTTGAAAAGTGTCATGGAAAAAGCTAAGAATAGATTTCTTAAAGTGGAGAAAATTATATTGTATATACTTTTAACAGCAGGTAGTTTAGACTTCTCAAAATAACTTTATAAATACATATAATAGCAACAAACATAATCAAAGTGAAAAAATGTCAAGCCATGGTACCAGTGCATAAACTGAAACTTTTCAAGCCATCTTAGCAACAGTTAAGTGAGCAAAACACACCTCTGAGCTCTCCAGCTGTGTTTTACAATGCAAAGTGCCCACAGCAAGTTCTCTCTTGTTGGGAGCTCTGTTTGTAAGGCCAGGAGTTTCTTTCATTCCTGGGCTCTGCCTGGCCTCTGCCTGCCAGGCACAGCTGCAAGGACAGAAGGCCACAGCTGAACTGAACTCACAGTCAAGGTGGAACTTCCTAGAGAAATCGCTGCCTGGAAACCATGTCAGTCTACTGAAGATTTCAGATCTTCAGAGATGTCACGGAAAGTCCTAAAAGAAGAAAAGACAGAATGATTAGCCTTGCTTTTGGAAAATGAGGTGGAGGGAAATAAAGCACCAAGGACAGGAGGGGAGGGGGGTTGGGAGAGAGGGAGGATATAATCAGTTACAATACAATGATTATTTTTATAATCTTTGAGAATCTGGTTGAGATCATAGGCCTATTATTATTATTATTATTATTATTATTATTATTTATTTTATTTTATTTTTGGTACCGGGGATCGAACTTGGGACCTTGTGCTTGCAAGGCAGGCGCTGGAACCACTGAGCTAAATCCCCGGCCCCCCATTATTTTTTTGAGTTGTTTCAAAATCTGTTATTCGTCATCCTTTACTAAGAAAAACCCCTGTTTTCTGTTTGATTTTTCCTAAGTCCATTATCTTCCATCCAAAAGACTATTTCCTCAGGGTTCCTTGAAACCACACTTGACCGTGTGACTAAATTTTTGTTAATACGGTAAGACGTGTATAGAAGTACTGAGCCATATCAGGGCAGTTTCTTAAAAGTGAAGGACAGTCCTTGATTCTTTCATCTTTTTAGTGGCTGGAAAAGTGGATATGATAATGATAAAGAGAAAAAACACTTAGAGATCAAAGATTAAATTTGGAATGTAAGTTTCATTAGAAAATAAGAAACAGGGTCCAGCATAAAGTCTAAGCTTTGAAGGATGTAATTCAGGGCTGGAGAAATGGTGTTGATCCTTTCATCAAATGACTTACACTGGTTTCTGACTCACATCATACAAGCTAAGTGAATGTTGCTTACTGGCAAGTTATAAATATCTAGGGTGTGTGCCTACCTCACAACTGTGGTAGCTACCTGGCTTTGACAGATAATTCACATGCCTGAGCTATAATGTCACCCAGTCAGGTATACATCTGTATTGGCACCCAAATGGCCAAGTCAGAATTTATCAATAAGTATGAGTTTCCAGCATCCATCTTAGACAATGGGGCCTCACATCAAGGAATAGAGGATGGGCCCAGATGTTTGTGGAAATAGCTAGACTAGCCCTGGACTGCTCCTCTGGACTTCCTTTATCCAAGTAAAAATAAACATCTAGCTTATATAAGTCACTGTTACTTTTAGTTCTGTAGATAGTGAGATTTTGATTTTTTTATTATATATAGCCAAACCTATCTTAAATGACACAAAGAACAGTTAATAACCATTCTTTCAGACAGAAGTTATATTGCTCCTCTAAAATAATATCACCAATTAGGGATATCAAAAAAGAAAAAGAAATCTTAAAAGACTTGAGTTTTTCAAAACAGTTTTAATATCTTCAATTTAGATTAGTTTGTGGCCACATCATTATAACATGTTCTTTGATTTTTTTCTCAAATAAAACCAATTATGTTTTCATACCAATGACCCAGTACCGATTACTATAAACAAAGTGCTCAACTTTTTTTTATTAGAAATACAGCTAAGACAGAATATAAAGGTCTGTGTTCCAAAACTTCAGGGAAAAGTTTACAGTTGCTGAAATGAAAGATAGCAAAAGATTTCATTAGGCACAATCATCTAAAAATGTACAAAGCAAATAATCTGAACTTCAAATGCAATTCCACAATCATTCCACCTCCCTGACTTCTTTGGATTTCCTGATTTTCAGTTCATAAAAATTAGTAGGCGGGTTAGACAGGCACAGCAGAGATAAATTAAAGACTAACCCTTTGTTTTAGTGCAATGCAGGAAAGTACTTCAAGGTCAAGAACAGCACTAGTAAAATGTTACAGAAAAGATTACTTTGAAGGATGCTGAGTTATCTCAAGGCTCTTTCAAGATAGTCCCCTAACCCTCTCATACTTCCAAAGCATGAGTGATCAGCAAGCTCTGTCAGAGGAACAGCCCTGAGAAACAGATGAGCTCCCTGGCTAGGGTTCCTGAGGCTTTGAAAGAGTTCATGTGTGGCATGACTAATTCTATCATAATAAAAACACATTGATGTAAAAAACAAAAAACAAAAAAACACATTGATACGTTTAAAAATTGTAATGAATATGTTTCCTTAAAATTTTTTTCCCTTGTGGTACCAGCGATTGGATCCAGCAAGTGCTGAGCTAAATCCCCAGCCCCTTTTAAAATTTTATTATGAGACAGTCTCACAAATTATTCAGGCTGGTCTTGAATTTTGGATACTCCTACCTCAGCCTCCCAAGTAGCTGGGATTACAGGCATGTACCACCACATCCCGCCTCCTTAAATATTTATATGTCCTGGGAAAAGAAGTTCAAAAAGATTTATATATACACATACATTTATATGTACGTACCATTTCTCAATAGTGACACCGTTGACATTTTTGTGCACTCTAAGATGTTTGCCAGCACTGCTGGCCTCAGTTCACTAGAATTCTGGCAATGTGTCCAGACATGATCAAATGTCTGGAGGAAAAAAAATCACCTCCTTCCCTGCCAGAACCATTGCTCTACAGACTCATTTATTTGCCTATTTTTTTGGTCTCATCCCAAGTTTGTGTTTTTACATTCGTATACAGATAAGGCTGCCTTTAAGCACTCTCTAACAATGTGAATTAGCACTCAATTCTGGAAAACCCTGGAAAATTTTTATAACCAAAAACCAAAAATTGGCCAATATTACAAATTATTTTCTAACATCCAGTAAGTTTCTTAATTCACCATTTGAGATATTTGCAAGTCTGAATCTGTAACTATTCATTTCCTCTAAATTATGAATGAAAATTTCTATCCTGGGGCAAAGATGCATGAAATAAGATTAAGACTGCGGTTAGCCTACTGACTGCTTTTTGTTGACAAGTAAGCTTAGCTGTAACCTTGAAATTCATACCTACTATTTTATGTTGCCACCACACCAAGAAAGCTGAGACAAGCTTTCAGAAGAAAGAAATAAGCTTTGAAAACAGTCACTGAGAATTTTTGCCTTTCCTTAATGTTGTATCTAGGTTTATGGGGTGTCACGGTGGTAGTGGCGGTGTGTGTTTAAAACCCTACTAAAATAACAGTGCTCTTGAATAAAACCTTTATCTACGGGGGGAACGAACATCCATAATCCAGAAATGTAGAAATGATTTGTTTCTGTACTATTCAGGTTACATAACTAACTAATGAAAAGGCTCATAAAACTAATTCTCTGGATTAGGAAAAAACAAAGAGAACCACTGCATTGTGGAGCTAGGGTTATAACTTGGTGGTAAAGTGCTTGTCTAGCTTGTGCGAGGCCCTGGGCTCAATACCCAGCACCTAAATAAATAAACGATGTGTCCTATTTAAATCACCTATAAATATGTTATTATTTCCCACACCATATGGATTGTGCTAGTCCTAAGAACATAGTTGTAGAATTTCACATCTAAAAGCGAGCAGTGCAAAACAAGACCCCATGTGGTTGGGATCTGAATAGAGGAACTTTGTAACATTTCACATCTCCTCTAAGAGTCGCAGTGCAGTCATCCCTTGCTCCTTGAAAATATTTCCCCCACCCCTCTTCTACTAAATGTTCAAATCTTTTCTCATTTAACAATTCAAGACTTGTTAACTCCCAGGCCCTGCCCACCCTCCAGAGATGCAGAGTAAATTCTGAACATTTAAAAATAAAAGGCTTTGTTTCCATTTTTTTCTTTTCTCATAATTGTTCCTTTCCCTTCTTTCCTTTTCCCTTCCTCTCGCACTTCTCCTACCCTTTGGACCTTTTCTTCCTATTTCAAGTTATCAATTATTCGTTTGAATCATTTTAATCCTTATTTACACTTTCAGTTTCTCACACCAGAGAAACTATTCGGTATTTACACATGTGTGTCCTATTTATTTCACTTAAGAGTATGGCCTCAATATCCATCCATTTAGCTAAAATCTCTGTAATTAGGGAAGGGTGGAGGGGGTGAAGGGAGCAGAGGGAATGGGGAAAAAATAAGAACCAAGATACATCATGTACAGGTACAAGCACCCAATGATAAATGTAAACGTATTGCATACTTAAAATGTACCAATAAAAGAATTTAAGCAAAAATAAATAAATAAATAAATAAATAAATATCAAAGGCTTTAACAAACTACTTACTTAGTTGGCTCCACAGAGCCGAGTATCATTTCCTAATCCTGCACAGCACACAGGTAACAACCCTTGTGACAGACTGTACATCATCACTGTTATGGTAACACTAGCTTTCCAACACATTTGGAATGAAGTTCTAAGACTGAGGGTTACTATGCCTTATCCTCTTTTATCAGCCTCAAGGTTATATTGCAAAAATCTTTAGAAAATTTGATCTGCTCCTGGCTTTACTAACCTATTAACTCATCAGCTAGCTGTTCACTGAGCATTTTCCATGCACCAAATGCCTTGTAGGAATCATACAGCAGTCCTAAACAAGCTAGACATAGTTCCTAACTTCCAAAGGCTTACTACCTAATTCAGAAAGACAGTGAATTAAACACACTTAGAAAATACAGAAGTCGGGTATGATGGCACACATCTATAATTTCAGCACTCATGAGGCCGAGGCAGGACGATTGCCCTGAGTTTGAGATCAGCTGGGCTACATAGTGAGTTCAAGGATAGCTTGAACTATATACATAGTGAGACTCTGTCTCAAAAAAATCAACAGAAATAAAAGATATACATTAAGTTCCAACAGAAGCGCCAAAATGCTATGGCAACACCTGAACAAGGACTTATACCTACCCTGGAGGGTTTCAGTAATGTTTCTCAAAGAAGAGTATTTGAGCACAGACCGTGATAGAAGATTTGGTTAGAAAAGAGGTGGACTTTTGTACAGAGGGGACAACGTGTGCAGTGATTACACTAACTTCAGTGACCTAATCCAAGTTCAATATGGCTGGAAAACAAAATACTCCAGTGATGAATCTAGAGAAGCAGTTATAAAGGAGGGAAGCAAGATGAAAGGCAGGAGGGAATCAATCAAGAGCCTGCTCAAGAAATCCTGCCATGGATCATCCACTGGGAATAAAGGGGATCAACCAATTCAGAAAATTTTTACTCAA